TGACAAAATCTGGTTTGACAACACTTTCTACTTTAGCCACGTTTTAGAGAAAGATGGATTACCAGTGATCGCATTAGTTCTCATGAATTATTCCTTTTCCGAAATCAATTTTAAGATCTGCAGGTGCCTGCAAAACTTCATCATGCCAGATGTTGGGTGCAAAAAATGATTAAAATATTAAAGTACAAAAAAACATCTTCATTTCTGATATAAATGGAAACACTTCAGACAAGTTTTTACACTGCAATCAGCACAATTGAAGAGGAAATTTCAAAATATGTTTAATTTTTTGTTGTTTTTGAGATGAGACTGACAGTATCCTAAGAACTGGTTTCCGCATCATATGTCATAGTATCGGGAACCAAAACTCATTCAGTCCTCATGTAATCCAACAAACATCTCATTACATTTCCAAAATTAACTGAACTCCACAGAAGTTTTCTCCAAATATGTATCTCGTGGACTGAGTGAATTTTGTAAAAATTCGCTCTTCAAATATGCAAATAACTGTTTTTCAGGATATAACACCAAGGCCTAGCAATATGGGCAAGCTTATGATAAGCTGAGGTCACGGCTGAGTTCTACCTCATAAGACATACAGTTAACTCCCCGTCTTCCTTCTCTGAGCACACAACCCCTGTATCTCCATTACCAGCACAGACTGTGCATTTGAAACCCCCAACTCAACTCCAGCATTTGCAGGATATTTATTTTTATTTTATCGTCACAGTCGGTGTACTAGGGTATGCGAGTTCGTCTCAAAGTTTATTAGTATCAAAGGCTCTCTCTGATATCCCACCCAAGGGCCAAGAGAACATGAATCTGACACGGATGCTGCCCCACATACAGGCAAACACGACTCTCTGCCCACTGCCCACATGGACAAGAGTGCGCAAAGCGATTGACGTCAGGTGGAGGCGGCAGAAATTTTCAAACTTCTCCGTAGCCCTCTGCCAATCTGCTTTTCTGCGCAATCGTTATTCCGCCCACGGCCACTCGTACGCTCGCGCTGTCAGCCTGTGATGCCACTTGCAGGCCCCCTCTCCCTCCATCTGATTAACAGCTGGGCCCCCACCAAGACACAGCAGTCACATGTTGCGGTAGGCATGTGAACACAGAGCTCGAGGCGAGACCAGCTGACCAGTGGCGTAACAACTCGCGCCGAGTGAGGATGTGATACCACACATCAGACATAGCAAAAGGTAATACTCTGTGTAGAAAAATATTAAAAGCACAACAGATACAGGTATGTGGTAAACTACACTGCCTTACCAATAATTGAGTGAATAACTGTTCCATTACACTGTGGATCCACATGAAAAATGAGTCAGTTACCTATTTTTTGCCCCAAAATTCTCTCTGAAACATTTGCTGCACCCAGTCATTGACATTACATAACAAATTAAGGATCTTCTCGCTCAGGCCCTTCCCTGATGAAGAATTTAATTAAAAATATCTCACCACAAGTTCAACATCTGAGTCATGATTTTAAATGGGTAACAATTAGAGACGCCATTAGAAACAGGGAAAATGCTAAGATAATGTATCCTCTTCCGTAGCGCAGAGAACAGAGAACGTCATTGCCACTGTAATTATGAGTATCAGGGCTCTTGTCCCTGGTCTACTCACACATACTTCCTTATAAAGATAAAAATCCACAGCTTACATGAAAAGGTCAAACACCCTACATTCCATCATTGGAATTTAAAAACTACAAATGGCAACATGCGCTTATAAAACAGGGAATGAAGAATTTACTCTGCCACAGCATTTCCAGTAAAGACATGCATCATTCCATCTTCTAGCTGCTTATCTTGTCAAGGTTACGAGGTAAGGTGCCGTAAATATTTCTTAAAAGCACTGGGCATTTTGGTTTCACCGGATAATTCTGTTACTCTTCCAGCCTCCCTGTATATAAGCTTGAAGTTTTGGTTCCCCCTAGTGGCCGCCTGTGTTAAAATGACTTGACCTGATTAAAAATAAGTTTTGGGTAACAAACTCCTGACTACCTGTTGTCATTTCCATTGTAGACGTGGACTCAGTCACATCAAGAAAAAAATATATTTTCAGATGAGGCAGATAATTTAATACGGTCATTTATTTCACACTTTTCTGAAACATTTGTCATCTCCCCTATCTCCCGATACAAAAGACTCATCCTTAGACAATCTTTCAGTGCATTTGACTTGGAGGAATAGCTTATTCATAAATTGATAGCAAGAATGAGTTAATGTTTTGTGCTTTTGCACCCATAATGTTAGCATAGGAAGGTTTAAAGTAATCAACTCAAATTATTAATTAGGCGTTGCAAGTGCCAAGTATCCAAACCCTAACCCCCCCCCCCCCAAAAAAAAAAATCATGTACCACAGAAGGGAGCTTTGACCCGAATCCTGAA